TGTTCATCTAGTTGTACCTTCCTATTTGTGTTTGCAGGGGTTAAGGCGGTGCTCCTCACCCCACCTCTTGTGCGTATTCACCTATTTCTACCTGCAAGGTTCGAGTCTCAGCTCCAGGCCCTGCCGCTTGCTACATAGTACTTGCCTAGTCTGAATCCTCTTCTCTAACAGTCACTCTTTTTCTCCTCGTAAGATACTCTTTAATTTACTATAAGACGTGTGTGTGTGTGTGTGTGTGTGTGTGTGTGCGAGCGCGTGCACACTAGTGTGTGCGTGTACTTACCTATCTTTTATGTGGCTACCAAAGCAATGATTTTTACCCCTTTGTTAAAGTTTGCTTCGGGCGATTATGGAGTAGTCATTTTTACTGGGTTCTCCCACCAACTGAAGCACCTAGGTAGACTACAGCACCCAGAGTCCGTCTGGTGGACCATCTGGTGGCACATATGAAGATTTGGCGGTAGAACTTGTCTGGAGGTCACGAGCGGAGCCTGGAGTTTACCTGGAGAGGGTTTCGGGGGTCAACGTCCCCGCGGCCCGGTATGAGACTAGGCCTCATGGTGGATCAGGGTCTGATCAACCAGGCTGTTACTGCTGGCCGCACGCAAGGTGACGTACGAACCACAGCCCGGTTGGTCAGGTACTGACTTTAGGTGCCTGTCTTGTGCCTTCTTGTAAACAGCCAGGGGACTATTGGTAATCCCCCTTATGTATGCTGGGAGGCAATTGAACAGTCTTGGGCCCGGACACTTATTGTGTTGTCTCTCAATGTACTCTTGGCGCCCCTGCTTTTCATGGGGGGAATATTACATCTCCTGCCGAGTCTTTTGCTTTCATAGGGACTGATTTTCGTGTGCAGGTTTGGCGCACAACTCTCAGCATTCTTGCTGGTTTGCCTTTACCCGTTACCAGCCAAATCCCAAACCTCTGTTAATTATTATTATTATTATTATTATTATTATTATTATTATTATTATTATTATTATTATTATTTTAATTTGGGGGCTATGGGGCCTAGTGTAATTTTGGGGAGGAATTTAGCTCCTTAGTACTGCCTCTGCTGATATGTATGTTAATCGATTCAGTGACTCAGAGGTGGATGGTCAGTGTCTTCATGTCAGTGAACTGAAGGACAATTCTCCCTATTGCTTAGAAGCCGTCGGGAGTGAATTCAAGATCAAAGTGCCACTGTAACCTGGGATCTGTCTCCAACCGTACTACTAATTAATAAATCTCAATCGGCAGTTAGAGATCTTGTGGCCTAACATCCACAAGATCTCTAAGGATAATCTGGTGATAAGATGGCTGGACCTAGGCAGGCCTGTGCCCGCTTGTAGCTTGGTGAGATGGTGGGGAACGTTATTTGCACAGGTTATTTGAACGACAAGGAATAGGACATTTGGCCTCTGAATCCTGGAGTAGTTGTGGTTTAGAGGATTGAGGAAAGCGGGTGTTGGTCTGGTGAGCACAAATTCACTGGTCCTTCCGTTTGACCAATCGAACCTTTTTCTCTACTTTGATCCTGGTTAAAGAACATGTTCCCTTCCCAGTACATTGCTTCAAGTAACAGAAGTTTGACATTTACAGAACCAAGTATAAGGCAACCCAAAACACTTGATATTGAATGTGGCATCGACTTCGACACTTCCCACTCCTGTACTGGTGTGTTAGTGTGACAGCTCAAGGCACTCCCACTAAGCTAATGACAGGTCGTATGAGGAACACAAGAAAGAGTGGCTTTGCTGCGTGATGTGTGTGTATATATAGAAAAGATGGGTTTTCTTTGAGGCCAGCAGGAGGACATTACTCCATCCTGGCCGATCTTATGTGGATGTTGCTTCTATCTACAGGGCCCTAGCTAACTGTGGGGTCTACTTTACTGAGACAGTCCGAGATTCGTCTTCCTCAGTCTTCAGGTACCTTGTCATTGGCCCCTCCACCTCGGCTACCATCGGTCCTGCCTGTCTAAGTGGCCTGGAGTTTGTTGGAGGTTCTCTTGAGAAGATAGCTTTCTGGGGGATGCATCTGCCAGGGATGGCCTGGTGGAAGCACAGGGTGAGAGGTATGAGTGTCCTGCTTCCTTCAAGAGTCACCTTCCTTTCACTGAAAACGAACCTTCACTATCACCCTCTGCTGGAATTAACTCCTCCAGGCACTCAGTCAGGGAAGCCTGCATGTTTCACCCTCGAAAACTACTAATCTCGCAGCTGGTGGTCCGTCTCTCTCTTAAGTCGTCGTCTGTGCCTGGCTATAAGGTCTATAAACAGGACACATGCAAAAAAGACTCAGGACACACTCAGAAGTGCCGTTCCCCTGCCTCTTGCTGAGGCAGCATATCAGATTCAGGTGGTGCATGTTGTTTAGATTGTCACGGCTGTGGTGACCTGAACAGTGTTTGCGTATAGCACAGATATCCAAGGACACCTAAAATTGGGTGATACTACTATAGTCATCCAAGAAAGTGACCTGCACAGACCAAAATGCTTAGGAACCTCCCTTATAGCAATCTCTCACACTATCACACAAAAGCTGGGTACCTTCAGCGTCTCATATTTACCAATAAATTGTTATCAAGCTTACATGTTTCCTTACCCTATTCGCCTGACCTCACTTTATTAAGATGTTTCTGTCTTAGTCCTGAAGAAGCCACATGTGGCAAAACGTTTCCTTTAATAATGTCATAATGGTATGCATGTTCTTCCACATCCAGTGTCCAGTGCGGTGTATGAGTCCTCTTTCCTAAGATTTGGCCCACAACAGTACATTACCACCTATGTACCTATTGCTGGGAAGTGGCCTTCAAGACAGCTAAGATGATCTTCATTGCCAAACCTAACAAGGACAACCACATCCCCGAGAACTACAGACCCATCTCCCTACTCGAAGTCACAGGCAAAGTCTTCAAAAGAATAATCTCCAACAGACTAAATTACTACATGGAGTTCAACCACCTATTCTCTGAAAGGCGGTTCGGCTTCAGGTCCCACCGCAGCACTCAGCATGCCATAAACATCATCTTTGATGCCGTGGTCAGCCTGAAGAAGCAAGGGAACCTGGCCCTTATTGCCACCAGGGACGTGCACAAGGCCTTTGACAGCCTTTGGCATGACGGTCTCATTTACAAACTCTTAGACCTCCCTGATCGCAACTGGACCTTCCTCAGGCTCATCTACAACTTCTTAACAGGAAGAAGAATCATCCCCACCTTCCATGAAATGGAATCAAATCCCTTCACACCAACAGCAGAAGTACCCCAAGGCTCTTGCCTCAGCCCTATCCTCTTCAACATATACGTCAGCGACCTCCCCCAACCTGAACATACCGACACCATCATCACTCAAATTGCAGACGATGTCATCCATGTTGTCTCCTCCACCCCTACAGCTGGTGCAAATGAACATAGGAGAGCAATTGAGAAAATGAATGAAGAACTAAATAGAACAGCCATGTGGGAGAAGAAATGGAGAATCACAACCAACCCAGACAAAGTCCTTATCAGCACCATTGGATGCTTGCCATCAACCATAGAAGACAAAGGGGGCATCTCCATCAGGGGCACCCGAATTGCTATTAGGAATCCAAACGAGATCGACAGATTACTCAACTCTACATCCCACGCAACCAAAAAAGTAAACCTAGCTAAAGCCCACCTTGGCCAACTTTATCGATTCAAAGCAGCTCCTCCACACATCAAACTACACCTGTACAAGATGATCAGACCTCTGCTGGAATACCCCTGTGCACCCTTGTCGCTCACAACCAAAACCAACATGCTAGAACTCTAAAGAGTCCAAAACAAAGCCCTCCGCTTCATCACTGGCACCAGACTCAGAGACAGAATCAGGACCAAGGACTTTCACATACAGCAGAGAATCCCTGCAATCAATGTCCGGTTAGATAAACTCATGAAGAGACAACTATATGACATGCAGGAACTCCATGTGCCTGACAGAGAGAACCCCCCAACCAGTGAACACGACCGACTATACCATTACCACCCCTCCCCACAGAGCCCAAAGAATGACCCTCCAACAAAGAGTTCGACGCTTCATCCACAAGGAGAACTTCCCTCGACCGAAAATCTTAAGCGACCTCCCTGCAGAAGAATGGATACCACCGGAACCATTCTACGTCCAGTAACACGGACTAACGCTCCCCATCTCCGGGTGACCCACTTCTATCAATCAACACCTCACAACTAACCTTGTTGCACTACAACTACCCTCCAGCAGGACACCACCTCAGCCACTGCTTAGCCAGCCAACCCCAGGTGAGCAACCAACCACCATCAAATGACCTGCAACTTCCGCCTGCAGCTACGGCCTTCTGACCAACCTCTGGAAAAAAAAAAATTGCACGCAGTATGCATCCTTCCAATTCAGTGGCGCACTGGTATAACAACAATATAGCAGTGTGCAATTGATGGGCAGGAAGCATATCCCAACTCATAAAACCAACCTCTCAATAAATTACTCAATATGCACACACGCATATTCAAAATACAACAAAGCGGATAGGCCACTACCCTTTTACAACCCCACCTACCCCTCCTCCCTCCTAACCTTTCCTACATTCCATCCTTACCCATCCTTCCTCCCTCCCATCTTACCAAAGCTCTGGTCAGAACCTCGAACCTATTGCTATGTGAAGAAGGGCATGTTTAGAGGCTTGTACATCTCGGCATCCCTCCCCCCTCCAAATGCCTAAATGTCAAATGTGTTAATACTGAGTTACAGGGTGGCATGGTAAAATAAACATAATTAACTCTTGTTCTAACCTTATAATATGTCGTACAAATCAGGACAGATGTATAATTTAGATACGTCCAAGTTTAGATTTTATTAAAAAAATAATAATTACGAAGGACCATTAATTAAGGAAGCTGTGATAGAAAGAACTTGTAAGCTCTGGCAGATCTTGTAGCGGCAGTATAGCGAGTTAATGATATGGTGGCGTATCAGTAGCTGATACAAATTCTAATGCACACTTCATAACGGTAGGGATGGTGGACGGTGTAGCAGATGGAGGGTGGCCAGCCACCCTAGCCCGTGGACTGCACGATGCCTGGGACACGAGGCTTTTCACAGATCTGGTTATTACAACTCGAGACGAGATCATACACGCTCATAAAGTCATCCTAGCAGCTGCATCTCCCTATTTTAAGTAAGTTTTAATTTGCCAGTTTTATTAAACAGATTGTTTTCCATGAAATAACTAGAGAATGCCTCTTCTGATCAGCTTCAAACCCTAAATGCTGGTGTATCTATTTTGCTAAAAAAAATTTGCTTGATTGTGGACTGTGTAGTTGTCAGTTTGCCATTTTTATGGAAATTGGGGGAAAAATATATACTGATTTTCAAATATTATTTTGTGAATTCTTCTGATCAGCTTCAAACCTTCAACACCAATAACTTGAGAATACAGCTTCTGATCAGCTTCAAACTTGAGGTACTGATACATTTGGGATACCTGGAGTATACCTGGAGAGGGTTCCGGGGGTCAACGCCCCCGTGGCCCAGTCTGTGACCAGACCTCGTGGTGGATCAGGGCCTGATCAACCAGGCTGTTACTGTTGGCCGCACACAACCCGATGTATGACCCACAGCCCGGCTGGTCAGGTACTGACTTTAGGTGCTTGTCCAGTGCCTGCTTGAAGACAGCCAGGGGTTTATTGGTGATCCCCCTTATGTATGCTGGGAGGCAGTTGAACAGTCTTGGGCCCCTCACACTTATTATGTTGTCTCTTATCATGCTAGTGAGACCCCTGCTTTTCATTGGGGGGATGTTGCGTCGTCTGCCGAGTCTTATGCTTTCACAGTGAGTGATTTTCATATGCAAGTTTGGTACTAATCCCTCTAGGATTTTCCAAGTGTATATAATCATGTGTCTCTCCCGCCTGCGTTCTAGGGAGTACAGGTTTAGGAACTTCAAGCGTTCCCAGTAATTTAGGTGTTTTATCACAGTTATGTGTGCCATGAAGGTTCTCTGTACATTTTCTAGGTCAGCAATTTCACCTGCCTTGAAAGGGGCTGTTAGTGTGCAGCAAAATTCCAGCCTAGATAGAACAAGCGACCTGAATAGTGTCAGGATATTGTCAGATATTGGCATCTGTGAAATAACTAAAGAATGAATCTTCTGGTTGGTTTTAAACTTACAAAGCTGGTGTATTTTATTCAGTGGGTGGTTCATATTAGTGTTGGGCAGTGTAGGTGCCAGTTTGCCATATTGTTTGAAGAAATTGGGATACAGAATTAGTTCCCATGTGATAACTTGTGAATGCCTCTTGATTGCCTTCAAATCTTCATTGCTGACATTTAACTGCATTAGAAGCTTATGCAACACTCTGTTCTATTCCTTCTGTGAACATTGAGGTAGAAGGGCTGAGTTTATGGGATACGAGGATACTAATGTTAGTAATATTACTATTAGCACCTGGATAGATCCATTGTGGGGCTTTCTCACATTTGAATTGACAAGGCCGTAAGTCCTCGGCAAGACTTAGACAGTGTGTCAACCAACAGTGCATATGCATAGCATGACGTCTCTACTGTGTGATTATGGCATACCCAATTCTTAAAGTTGGTGCCCGCAAACCAACGATTCACATACCAATATGTAAACAAGGCCCCGCCCACAGGATGGGTACGGGGTGCATAATAAACATTAAATTTACACTAAACAAGACCTCACAAAGAACTACACAGGTGCCAGTACTGGCACCTTTCTCAGATTGGGCAGGTACCAGAACACATTTAGTTTGTTTAGTATATTTCGTAATGAATGCAATATAAGGAAAGAAGGAAACATTCGTCACCACTCATTCGATAGTTGTCCTGTCAGAATTTTTCAGATATCCCTTTTTAAGTGATGCTGAACTACACTCCTTTGGAGTGCAGACACTATTTTTTTTGCTTCCAGGACTCAAATCCGATTAACTAGTTATATCATGAGTTTTTACCTTGCTCACTAACAACACAAATCCTAAAATCTTGCTGAATTCTTAAGTGTCTCCCACTCCAGTCCATACCTCCTTCACCCCCAATTGTAAGACAAATCGAGGGTAAATGCCTCTGAAACAGTAGGCATCCTCTCCAAGATATGTTACTGTGTACCTGGTAGGCAATGCTCTCGCCTCACACACTGAATGTCCGTGGTTCGATTCCCAGCCGGGTGGCAACATTGGGTATATTTCCTTACACTTACTGTCCCTGTTCACCTAGCAGTGAGTACCTGGGTGTTAGTTTACTGGTGTGGGTCGCATCCTGCGGGACAAGTCTGAAGGACACCAATGAAAATAAAACAGAATCTTATCTTATCTTACCACTCTAATGCACCTTTACCTGATATTCTACGTCAAATCATCTAAAACCAGTAATAACTGAACAGAACCTGCTACAGTGCTAATTGAACAGTTACTCATTCCAGTATCAGACAACATAATCCAGTTTTCCTGGTACATTATTGATTTTTATTCCATTATGTTTAATTTCCTTGGTACATTATTGATTTTTATTCCATTATGTTTAATTTCCTTGGTACATTATTGATTTTTATTCCATTATGTTTAATTTCCTTGGCACATTATTGATTTTTATTCCATTATGTTTAATTTCCTTGGCACATTATTGATTTTTATTCCATTATGTTTAATTTCCTTGGCACATTATTGATTTTTATTCCATTATGTTTAATTTCCTTGGTACATTATTGATTTTTATTCATTTATATTAAATTTCCTTGGAACACTATTGAATTCTTTATTTTTATTCCATTATTTTTAAGGTTTCTAGTATATTAATGATTTTTGTTCCTAACCTTTTTAAATTTTGAAGGATGACAAGCTGAAGAAGTTTTTGTAGATATGACTTTCTTTCAAATATTTCGCTGTCAATTGCAGCATTTCTTATTTTTCCAGAATATCCTGTATAATATGTTGTGTTGTACTAAGTAGGATACGACGGCTTAAGTTTCCTTGTGTAGAGGCAGGCGTCGCTTTACAGCACTTAGCTAGTGCACCAGTATTCAATTATATCCATTCTTCATTTATTCAGATTTCTTACAATAAATATAATCACCACTCACTATAAGCTAAGGATGAAAATATTTTAAGTTGAGTAATGCGCATACTGTATATGCAGTTTTTAGGGATAACTATTGCTCACTTAATATATAATAGTATAAATATTTTATCAAACTTTTATATGCATTTGGAGGTTCTAGGCTACCTCTTTACAGCGGTAGCCTGGAACATAACAAGCTGTATAAACGAGGCCTGCCTGTACTATACCTTTGATATACCTCTAATGAGTTTTGAGAGTCTTACTACTCCTGGGTCGCGGTCATGGACCAGGCTCATCTGGTGCTAGCCTAGTCAACCAGGCTGTTGCTGCTGATGGCCCACTGCCCCACATGTCCATCACAGCCTGGGTGATCTGCCACCATGTACGATATCCTGGCTTATATTTTTCTCTGTATGTAGGATATCCTGGCTATTATGTTTCTTTGTATGTAGGATATCCTGGCTTATATGTTTCCTTGTACAGTGTAGGATAGCCTGGCTTATATGTTTCTTTGTACTGTGTAGGATATTCTGGCTTATATGTTTCCTTGTACTGTGTAGGATATTCTGGCTTATATGTTTCCTTGTACTGTGTAGGATATCCTGGCTTATATGTTTCCTTGTACTGTGTAGGATATCCTGGCTTATATGTTTCCTTGTACTGTGTAGGATATCCTGGCTTATATGTTTCCTTGTACTATGTAGGATATCCTGGCTTATATGTTTCTTTGTACTGTGTAGGATATCCTGGCTTATATGTTTCCTTGTACTATGTAGGATATTCTGGCTTATATGTTTCCTTGTACTGTGTAGGATATCCTGGCTTATATGTTTCTTTGTACTGTGTAGGATATCCTGGCTTATATGTTTCCTTGTACTATGTAGGATATTCTGGCTTATATGTTTCCTTGTACTGTGTAGGATATCCTGGCTTATATGTTTCCTTGTACTGTGTAGGATATCCTGGCTTATATGTTTCCTTGCACTGTGTAGGATATCCTGGCTTATGTATTTCCTTGTACTTTGAAGGATAGCCTGGCTTATGTGTCTTATGTTTCCTTGTACTGTGTAGGATATCCTGGCTTATATGTTTCCTTGTACTGTGTAGGATATCCTGGCTTATATGTTTCCTTGTACTATGTAGGATATCCTGGCTTATATGTGTCCTTGTACTACGTAGGATATCCTGGCTTATATGTTTCCTTGTACTATGTAGGATATCCTGGCTTATATGTTTCCTTGTACTGTGTAGGATATCCTGGCTTATATGTTTCCTTGTACTGTGTAGGATAGCCTGGCTTATATGTTTCCTTGTACTGTGTAGGATATCCTGGCTTATATGTTTCCTTGTACTGTGTAGGATATCCTGGCTTATATGTTTCCTTGTACTGTGTAGGATATCCTGGCTTATATGTTTCCTTGTACTATGTAGGATATCCTGGCTTATATGTGTCCTTGTACTACGTAGGATATCCTGGCTTATATGTTTCCTTGTACTATGTAGGATATCCTGGCTTATATGTTTCCTTGTACTGTGTAGGATATCCTGGCTTATGTTTCCTTGTACTGTGTAGGATATCCTGGCTTATATGTTTCCTTGTACTGTGTAGGATAGCCTGGCTTATATGTTTCCTTGTACTGTGTAGGATATCCTGGCTTATATGTTTCCTTGTACTGTGTAGGATATCCTGGCTTATATGTTTCCTTGTACTGTGTAGGATATCCTGGCTTATATGTTTCCTTGTACTGTGTAGGATATCCTGGCTTATATGTTTCCTTGTACTGTGTAGGATAGCCTGGCTTATATGTTTCCTTGTACTATGTAGGATATCCTGGCTTATATGTTACCTTGTACTGTGTAGGATATCCTGGCTTATATGTTTCCTTGTACTGTGTAGGATATCCTGGCTTATATGTTTTCTTGTACTGTGTAGGATAGCCTGGCTTATATGTTTCCTTGCACTGTGTAGGACATCCTGGCTTATATGTGTCCTTGTACTGTGTAGGATATCCTGGCTTATATGTTTCTTTGTACTGTGTAGGATATTCTGGCTTTTATGTTTCCTTGTACTGTGTAGGATATCCTGGCTTATATGTTTCCTTG